TTTATATCAGAGAAGATAGATAGAAAGAAAATATAACTGGATTCTGACAAAGCCCTTAGAATGTATGGTTATCCCAAGTGGGCCTTCATCAAAATCTCAAAAAAGTCCTAGCAGGAGTCCCTCCATAACAGACGAAGAAAACAATAAACGAAGCAATGTAGTCATTCCATACATTGCAGAAATATTGGAAAAGCTCAGGGGGATCTTTTGCCAACACAACAAACGTGCACACTTCAAACCTAAGAATACCCTAAGGCAGAAGCTTGTCCACCCCAAGGATGAAACACCCAGACACAAACTGAGCAACGTGGTACATGCAGTACAATGCAGTGAGCCATCTGCAGATCTGTGCATTGAGGAAATGAAACAACAACTTCATAAATGTATAGCACAACATAGGAGAACAAACCCATCAGGATCAGAGTCAGCAGTACATCTGCATTTAAAAGACAAAGTCCATTCTTTCGAAGAGACCAAAGTCCACATTTTGGATAGAGAGGACCGCTGGTTTGAAAGAGAGGCCATCTATGTCAAAATTGAACAACCCTCTCTCAACAGAGTGGGAGGGATCAAACATCATCTATCTCCAGTCTTTCAATAGTTCCAAGAAGGTTCCACACCCATTTGCATTACTCAGGTCATCCTGAAGACACAGATGAGCCTCCAGATAGCTTTAATGGCTTGCTAAAAGAATGCAAATGAACAGCTGTCTGCAGGAGTATAAATCTTTCCATTGCCCACCATCCAGTCAGAGCTGAAGAAGCTTCTTGGATGAGAAGCGAAACGTCTTCAAAGAAAAACAAGAAAGTCCAGTTGCCTCATGAAAAAAAGCACCTTTGGGACAACTATGACCTGGATGACTGAGAATCTCCATAGACATTCTGACCCTTAGCTTTCATAACTTTGTCTTTGATTCAAGCTATTTGTCGGTACTCTGCTTTTCTCATTTGCCCTCTTTCCATTTTTTTGTACTTATTCTTTTTTTTCTTTCAGTTGATGTGAGATGGTGAAAAATGGTGAAAAAAATAAGGTTCTACATTTAGGCAAGAAAAACCAAATGTATAGGTATAGTATAGGGGGTACCTTGCTCAATAGTAGTAACTGTGAGAGGGACCTCGGAGTCCTAGTGGACAATCACTTAAATATGAGCCAGCAGTGTGCTGCAGCTGCCAAAAAAGCCAACACAGTGCTAGGCTGCATTAACAGAGGGATAGAATCAAGATCACGTGAAGTGTTAATACCACTTTACAACGCCTTGGTAAGGCCACACTTGGAATACTGCATCCAGTTTTGGTCACCACGATGTAAAAAAGATATTGAGACTCTAGAAAGAATACAGAGAAGAGCAACAAAGATGATCAGGGGACTGGATGCTAAAACATATAAGGAACGGTTGCTGGAATTGGGTATGTCTAGTTTAATGAAGAGAAGGACGAGGGGGGACATGACAGCAGTGTTCCAGTATCTCAGGGGCTGCCACAAAGAAGAGGGAGTCAAGCTATTCTCCAAAGCGCCTGAAGGCAGGACAAGAAGCAACGGATGGAAACTAATCAAGGAGAGAAGCAACCTAGAACTAAGGAGAAACTTCCTGACAGAACAATTAACCAGTGGAACAACCTCCCTCCAGAAGCGGTGAATGCTCCAACACTGGAAGTTTTAAAGAAGAGACTGGACAGCCATTTGTCTGAAATGGTGTAGGGTTTCCTGCCTGAGCAGGGGGTTGGACTTGATGACCTCCAAGGTCCCTTCCAACTTTTTTATTATTATTATTATTATTATTATTATTATTATTATTATTATTATTATTATTATTATTATTACTACTACTACTACTACTACTACTACTACTATTACTATTACTATTAATGAGATTTCTTGGTTTTCTTGTTTGCCTGCTGAATCATACAATGCTTTACTTACTCATTCTCCAAGTTCAATTTCAATAACAATTTATAAACCTTAGTAATAATATATTTATCACTAATAATAGGATTTCCAATTCATTTTTTGCAAAATCAAATCCATATCTCTTGTCTAATTTAACCCTTTCTTTCAATTGTAAATATGTAAATCAATAGCAAACATATTCTAAATAATAATAATAATAATAATAATAATAATAATAATAATAATAATAATAATAATAATAATAATAATAATAATAATAATAATAATAATAATAGTAATAAAGTTGGAAGGGACCTTGGAAGTCATCTAGTCCAACCCCCTGCTCAGGCTGGAAACCCTATACCATTTCGGACAAATGGCTGTCCAGTCTCTTCTTAAAAACTTCCAGTGTTGGAGCATCCACCGCTTCTGGAGGCAGGTTGTTCCACTGGTTAATTGTTCTAACTGTCAGGAAGTTTCTCCTTAGTTCTAGGTTGCTTCTCTCCTTGATTAGTTTCCATCCATTGCTTGTCCTGCCTTCAGGCGCTTTGGAGAATAGCTTGACTCCCTCTGAGTCCAATTGCTCTGTATACTTGAGGATAATTGAAAGATATTATTTGACCATTAGTCTACCAGTTGGACCTCACCATCATTTCTTTTTTTAAAAAAGAACTTCCCGAGGGGGAGACACCCAAAAAGGCATGTTTGCAGAGAACATTACTTATATTTATTCCAAACTCTTAGGATTGCATGTCTAAGAAAGTGATTATTAAAACCAACATTTGCTTTAACCTTACCAAACTATAAGTAGCCATGCCATCCAAATCTTAATTCATGGCCCTCGAGTTCAAGTAACCTCTTATTTTGGAGAGTCGGCCATTCTTTTTGCCAGACAAAATAACAAGCATCAAAATACAATTTCAAATCTGTAAGCCCAACCCTCCTCTTTCCTTAGCATCTTGCAATAATTTATATTTAATTCTTGGCTTTTTTTCCCTTGCCATATAAACTTACAGATGTCTATCTGCCATTGTTTAAATGGAGTATCAGTTAAAAGTCTGAAACAGAAAAATCATCTTTGGTAAAACATTGATCTTAATTACAGAGGTTCTACCCAGTAATTACAGTGCCAAGAATTTGTGATTGATCAATAAGTCAGTATTTCATGATTGAAGGGATATTTGAACTTGGATCTCGGTGATCATCAATAGGTCAAATCAATCATAATTAATGTTAGAAGTTATTTTGGCATTGTGGCATGTTTGCTATTTACTTGTAATATGTACTTTTATTTTTTCATACATTCTGCAAGTATTTTATAAACAAAGTTACATTTTTATTTGTATCTTACAGGCAAAGAGGGTGCCAATAAGAGTGCTCCGGACAACTGAGAACAACAAACAACTTTGAGAAGGAAAGCAAATCAATCCAGAAATCAAGATAGTTTCCATTTCCATCAGAAAAAAACCACAATTTTTCTCCTTCCCCAGGAGGTGATAGACAAAAGAGAGAAAATCGAGAGAAATTTCAAGCTTAGTAGAGTATTCAGAACAGGCAAATATCTGGAAGTCAGTGGGGAGAAAAAGATCACATAGGGCAGACAATAATGGAGGCTTCACCCTGTGAGGAAGAAAACAATAGCTTGAATCAAAGCTCCACCCAACAAGAATCACAGATATCTTTGACCTCTTCAAGAATATCAGTGGTAAAAAAGTTCCACAGACCTATCTACTGTGGGAAAAGAACAGATTCCAAATCACAGCTGATTGTGGACAACAGGATCCACACTGGAGAAAAGCCATACAAATTATCTGAATACGGCAAAATCTTTCTTCAGAACAGCTCCGTTGTGGATTCTGGAAGGACCCAGACAGGAGAGTTGCCCTACAAGTGCTCCCAATGTGGTAAATGCTTTAGCGAAAATGACAACTTGGTGATACATCAGAGGAGTCACACCAGGGAGGAAATGTATGACTGTCCTGATTGTGGGAAAAGTTTTATGGCAAATTCTCACCTAGTGATACACCAGAAGACTCACGCAGGAGAGAGACCCTTTGAATGTGCTGATTGTGGGGAAAGTTTCAGTCACAATTCCAGCCTGGTGAAACACCAGAGGACTCACATAGGAGAGAAACCTTTTGAATACCCTGGTTGTAGTAAAAGTTTTGATCAGAATTCCCACCTGCTGATACACCACAGGACACAGACAGGAAAGAAATTATATGTGTGTCCTGATTGTGGGAAAAGTTTTACTGCAAATTCCCACTTGGTGATACACCAAAGGACTCACACAGGAGAGAAACCTTTTGAATGTGGTGATTGTGGGAAACGTTTCAGACAGAATTCAAGTCTGGTGAAACACCAGAGGACTCACACAGGAGAGAAACCTTTTGAATACCCTGGTTGTAGTAAAAGTTTTGATCAGAATTCCCACCTGGTGATACACCACAGGACGTACACAGGAAAGAAATCATATGTGTGTCCTGATTGTGGGAAAGGTTTCATTGCAAATTCCCACTTGGTGATACACAAGAGGACTCACACAGGAGAGAAACCCTTTGAATGTGGTGATTGTGGGAAAAGGTTCAGTCAGAATTCCAGCCTGGTGAAACACCAGAGGACTCACACAGGAGAAAAACCATTTGAATGTCCTGATTGTGGAAAAAGTTTCAGTTTGAATTCCAACTTGGTGATACATCAGAGGACTCACACAGGAGAGAAACCCTTTGAATGTCCTGATTGTGGGAAAAGTTTCAGTCAGAATTCCCATTTGGTGATTCACCAGAGGACTCATACAGGAGAGAAACCATACGAATGCCTTGATTGTGGTAAATGTTTCAGTAAGAACTCAAACCTGGTAAAACACCAGAGAATTCACACAAGAGAGAAACCATATGAATGTTCAGATTGTGGAAAAAGTTTCACTCTCAATTCTGACCTGGTGATACACGAGAGGATTCACAGAGGAGAAAAACCATATGAGTGTCCAGAGTGTAGAAAAACTTTCAGTTACCGTTCTGATTTGATGAAACATCAGAGAACTCACACAGGAGAAAAACCATATGAGTGTGCAGAGTGTGCGAAATGTTTCAGTTACAGTTCTGATCTGGTGAAACACCAGAGGACACACACAGGAGAGAAACCCTTTGAATGTTCTGATTGTGGGAAGAGTTTCAGTCAGAATTCCAACTTGGTGAAACACCAGAGGACTCACACAGGAGAAAAACCCTTTGAGTGTCATGATTGTGGGAAAACCTTCAGTTTGAATTTCAACCTAGTGAAACACCAGAGGACTCACACAGGAGAGAAACCGTATGAGTGTCCGGATTGTGCAAAAAGTTTCAGTCACTGTTCTGATCTGGCGATACACCAGAGGACTCACACAGGAGAGAAACCCTTTGAATGTCCTAATTGTGGCAAAGGTTTCAGTCAGAATTCCAACCTGGTGAGACACCAGAGGATTCACACAGGAGAGAAACCCTTTGAATGTTCTGATTGTGGAAAACATTTCAGTCAGAATTCCAGCCTTGTAATTCACCAGAGGACTCACACAGGCGAGAAACCATATGAATGTCCAGATTGTGGAAAAGATTTCAGTAGTAGGTCTAGTCTTCTAAGTCATGTTGGTTTACACACAGGCGAAAAACCTTTTAGATGTCCAGTCTGTGGACGGTACTTCAGGCATAAATCGTCCTTTATCGCACACAAGGAAATCCATGTGAGGCAAAAGTTGGCGAGTTTAGAAAAAGCTTGAATTTCATTTCTGATTTCCGATTGGAAATGTAGGTGAGAAATTGACTATTTGAATTCTGACCTGATTCTTCTTACTCAAACATCTGTGAGGAATAGATTGATAGGTGGAGAGAAAAAAAAATGGAAAATGCTACTTTCATAAAGGCGAACTCCTGTTTCTCTTTTCAGCAAAAGATACTGTGTGTTTCCTTTTGCCGAAGTTGTGGAATTCCTCATAAAGGGTTTTTTTTGTGGTGTTTTTTGTATATTGATTATGGAATTTCCACATCTTGAGTTTCAGCCTTCTTTTTGGGTGTCCTCCAGATTCTGAGTCCCACAATTCCGCAGCCAGCGTACAAGAAGTCCTAGATTGTAATGGGAGCAAGCAATTATGGTTGCATTTTGCAATGGCTCTTAAGCGAGAGTGTTTTGGTTAACTATCCCACTCCCTGATCTCTGTGATGCTGCCGTTAAGACAAATGTGCAAATCGCTAAGCGGAACACTGGCTACCTCAGAATTGTGGGAAGCTCTTTGAGGCCTAGCGTAGGCCCAGGCCCAGGCTTGCCTCCTCAGGCCTGCCTTACCCTCGGAGACACCCAGTGCTCTGATTCCCAACCCTTGGTCACCCCATGCCTTTTCCTCCCCAAAAGACCCCCACCAGGTTTTTCCCTCCCCCATAGGGTCCTCGAGGTCTTTCCCCCCCCACAGAGTCCCTGAAGGCATTTTCCCACTCCCACTGGCTCCCTGAAGGCCTTAAGCTATTCCAGGCAAATGGCTGTCCCATCTCCTCTTTAAAAACTCCACTGGTGGAGCACCCACAACTTCTGGAGGCAAGCTGTTCCACTGAGTAATTGTTCTCACTGACAGGAAATTTCTCCTTAATTATAGGTTGGATCTCTTTTTGATAAGTCTCCCTCTGTTACTTAGTGTCCATCTCTCAGGTGCTTTAGAGAATAGATTGATGCCCTTTTCTATGTCATCCTTCAAATATTGAAAGACTGCTAGTCACCCTTCTCTGTGGTAGATTAGACATATCCAGTTCCTGCAACTCTTTATTGTATGTTTTAGCCTCCAGTCCCCTAATCACCTTTGTTGCTCTTCTCTGAACTTTTTCTAGAGTCTCAACATCTTTTCTGTATCATGGTGACCAAATGTGGATGCAATATTCCAAGTGTAGTCTTACCATTGCAATATAATGCAATACTGACATTTCGTGTGATGTTGATACTATCCCACTGTTGATGCAGACTTGGACCACACTGGCTTTTTCTGCAACTGCAGCACATTGTTAGCTTATACTTCAGTGGTTGTCCATTAGGACTCGTAGATCCCTCTCCCAGTTACTGCTGTTGAGGCAGGTCAAAGTCAAGGTCCTTTTTAAAACTGCAGAATTATGAGGGCCAAATATTCATCTGAATGTTCATACTTTCTTTTTCCTGTATCCTATGCCAAGGAACTTTTGTAAGGAATGCCCTTGGCATTGAACTTACTGAGAAGTTTTGCATTAAAAATGATTGATCTGAACACTGGTTTATCCTTTCAAAGCGCCTGAGGAAAATGGACCCCCTCCTGCCCCCCTCCTTTTAAAAAAGCCCAGTTAAAATACCATCATCCATGCGCCACGCTGAAGTAAATAGGTTCTGAAGTGCCCCGAGATTTACATTATGTTAAAATATTTTTGGTAATCTTTACAGAAAGTGAAAGCTACAAAACTGAAGGTTGAGCGACTCAGAGAAATCTCATGCCTAATACAGAGATGAAATTGGGAGGAAACTGAAAATTGGAAAGGGAAGATTGCAATGGAATACCTAGAGCAGGGGTGTCCAGCTCAATTTCATTGAGGGCCCCATCAGCCTTCTGGTTGCCCTTGGGGGCTGGGGTGTTCGCAGCCAACTGGGTGGGCGTGGCCGGGGCGTTTGCAGCTGACTGGGTGGGCGTGGCCAGCTTGATGTAGTTCATGTCGGGGGGGGATGCCCGTGGGGGCCTGGTGGGGTTGGGAATCCAGAGGTCTCCGGTGGGTGGGGTGGTGGGCGGGAAGCTTGTCCCGTCAGTTGAGACGAGGTGGGGCAGGGGTTGGGGCAGGGGTGCCGCTGCCGTGGAGCAAGGTGAGGTAAGGGGTGGGGCGGTTGTTGCAGGACACCATTGGCCCCCGTGCACAGGAGGCAGCGAGCGTGCGGGGGGGGCGACGGTGTCCGGCAGCAACCACACCCTGCCGGCCCCTCTGCTGACGCACTCAGTGGCCCCACAGCCCACTGCCATCACCGGGCCGGCCCTCTGCAGGTTGCAGAGCCACCGAATGCACCGCCCCCTGCAAGCTTGCTGCCTCCTGTGTGCACGCGGGGGGGGGGGATGACACCTGGCTGTCCTGTGTAGGGCCAAGGGGTGGGGGGGCGGTCTCTCGCCGTCTTGTGCCAAATATAAGCCAATCGCGGGCCAGATTCAGCCCATGGGCCTTGTGTTTGACACGTCTGAGCTAGAGGAAGCAGGACTGGCTTACACAATGGCTCCATGGAGCATTTTATTGCAACAACTGAAGCCTCCTTGCAGCCCAAGCAGCCTGGATATTGTGCACGCCAGTCTCTCTTCCATAAAGTGCTCTGCAGGCAGTTATTAGAGCCCCCAGGCCTGTCATGTCACTTTTTAATCTTTCTAAAAAAAATCTCACCGACCCCCCTTGATCTCTTTCGTAAAGCTCTTTGTAAAAAACAACGGAGAGCTGCTTTTTCAATGTAGATTATACAACCCGTAAAAAAGAGCTAAAACGAAAATTGAAAACCTCCATGGGTGGTGCTGTTCAGTTGGTGGGGCAGAGATAAACAGGGATGCATCAGTCACCAGAAAGGGAATCTGGGCGTGTAAGACAGGCAGATCCAGGGGCTGCATCTCAAAGCGAGCCCAGCTGGACAGGGCTGCATAATGGCCAAACCTGGGATGCCTCTCAGGTCCCTGTCATCCGCCTTCAGAGGCCACTGGCCTCTTCTTAACACTGTTCACGCCCTCTCGGAGGAGAGCCCCTCCAGCCTCCTTCACGTGTCCTCTGAGCTCAGATTTCCCCTTTCTCCTCTCCAGACCCCTAGGGCAGGGCTTTTCAACCAGTGGTACGGGTACCACTTGTGGTACATTGGCACATGGCAGGTGGTACGCGACCATCCTAGAAAAATGGTAGCAGGGGAGGGGAATGAGTTGAACCGGTGGCAGCACTGCACAAGCCTGAGTGAGAGATAGCTGGAGCTGCAGGGCTGTCAGGGCTCAGTGGAAGCACCAGGATCAGCGCCAGGCTCCAGCTGGAGCTCGGCACTGATCCTGGAGCTTCTGCTGAGCTCTGAAGAAGCACCAATCAGCTGGAAAGCAGCACTGATCCTGGCACTTCTGCTGAGCCCAGAAGAAGCGCTAATCAGCTGGAATGTTGCAGGGTTGTGATTTACATTCAGATGCTTGGCAACTGATTCATATTTATGACGGTCACAGTGTCCCAGGGTCTTGTGAAGTGACCAAAACCTGCTGCAACCATCCAGCAGACGGGGGGGGGGGAATAAAAACCAAACACCCCCTCACCCCACCCCCGCTGCCAATCCTCAACAGAAATGCTCACAACAATGAAAACCTCGGACAGGAGGAAGAGCGCCGCCGGGCAGGCAGGCAGGCGTCTTGCTCGGCTGCGGCTTGGGGGGCACTTTTTTCAGTGCCATTGTAACTTCAAACAGTCACTAAGCGAACTGCTGTAAGTCGAGGACTACCTGTACTTTATCACTTTTTTCCTTTTTTTTGTCAAGTTTTTGACACCTTGCTAGGCAACTGGTGGTACTCGGATGTTGCCATATCCTAAAAGTGGCACAATGGGTGAAAAGGTTGAAAAGCCCTGCCCTAGGGAGCTGATCATCCCCAGCACGAACAGGGAAATATGGGAACAACATTTCTGGGAGACTACAGTAAGCTGTTGCAGATTTTAAAAATATATTACTGGTAATTCTCAACTTACGACCACAATTAAGCCCAAAATTTCTGTTGCTAGACAAGACGGATGTTAAGTGGGTTTTGCCCCATTTTACCACCTTTCTTGCCCCGGTTATTAAGTGAATCACTGTAATTCTTAAGAATACAGTTCTTAAGTGAATCTGGCTTCCTCATTGACTTTCCTTGTCAGAAAGACACAAAAGGGGATCCACGTGATCTCAGGACACCGCAGGCATCATAAACGTTAACCAGTTGCCTAGCATCCAAATTTTGATCACATGGCCCTGAAGATGCTGCAACAGTGTGAAACACTGTCATAAGTCACTTTTTTTCAGTGCTGTTGTTAACTTTGGTCACTGAATGGTTGTAAGTTGAGGACTACCTATACACCAAAGATAGGAATGTTTTGTATGCCCTCTTGAATTCCTGAAGGAAAAGAGAATACATAAAATATATGTTGGGTTTTTAAAAGTTCAGATTCCTCCATGCAATAGAGTTTGGGGTCAAAAGCTGGAACTGGCCTCTTTTAACTCTAGTTAGATCATCATCACATCCACAGCATATTGGGTCTGCATCCAGAGTAGTGCTGTACAGTGTCCCTCTAAGAAGGTTAGCCGCCATCAACCGGCCATATCACTTGGCGGGATATTTTTACCTTTGGTTTTCACTTAACAGACACTCAACATTCCTTGGTTCCTGTGTACACTATCTTGCCACAAAAAGTTTCTTTTTCACTCTCCCTTAATTCTTCCCCTCAGGATTTATTTTGTGAATTTGCCATTTCGGGAGTGCATATTTTCCTCAACGGGCAGCCAGTTTAGGGACTGGAATTTCAGTCCCTAAGCCCGTAATGGCGAACCTATGGCACACATGCCACAGGTGGCACACAGAGCCGTCTCCCCAATCCTAGGCCTTCAGCTGGGTTTTATAAAACCTTTTCACTTTAGGCCTCCGCCACCATGTGCAAGGGAAAAAAAAGGTTCAATCAATCAATTTCAACCTCTAACGACAAAAAAAGATCTCACAAAGTTGCAATTGATTGAACTTTTTAGTCCCACTCAGTCTGCCGTTACCACCGCAGCCACACCCACCCAATGGGCCACGCCCAATCGGCACCCGATGATACATAAGTGGGTTTTGGTTGCAGTTTGGGCACTCTGTCTCTAAAAGGCTCACCATCACT